GCTAAGACTGGCTTTCTCCCTAAGTGGCTTTGCCCTTTTTGTCACATGCACTGTGAGTAACAGTAAAAGTACGGAGGTTTGAGTTTATCTCTCTACAAAAGAAGGTGCAGTTTGAAAAATATGAAAGCTATGCAAAGAGCAAAGGAAATAAATGAGATAGTCTGTCCCATCGGCTTCTCTGAAGAGAGGAAGGACCATGAATTTCCCCTATCAGAGGAATTGGAAGTGATTTTTATTCCAGTTAATAGAACATAAAGATTGTTTCCCCCTAGCTCTGCACTTACCAGTTCCTGGTTCCTCAGGGTCCAGAGAGATCATCATATTCTCTCTGTGCTGTATAGTTAGTTGTCTGCAGTTTCTCCATGGTCTCCTCCACTGACATTTCTTAACTTCTAAAGTCTGGGCAGAGACCAACACCACCAGTTGGCAACTTCTGAAGGTGAACTGAGGAAGAAAAATGTATGAGAAAACTTGGTTATATACTTTGTTGTAGTGAGACAATATTCTCTAAGAAATGAAAATGGGGTGGGACTTATTTCAAAAGATCCTAAAATTATTTTTAATTACCCTATCTACAGAAGTCACTTATAATACTCATATTTGGGATATGACAACCACACATGCTAAGAGGGTTTAATTGAAATGTAAAAAGAAAACATCAATTCCCTTATTTACATCTTAAAAGTACACACATGGAACATGCATTCTGACACAACTAGTCAATCTGAAATTTTACAATCAAAAAAAGGAATACAGGCTTAAGATTAATGCAATGTAATTGGAAGATTCTAAATTACAGAGACAAACATCCTTCACTGCAAATCCATCGTTCATGCAATACACAGTCCCCTGTGCTGAGGGGCTGCCAGAGCTCAGCATCTCCTGCAGATGCTGAAAACCTCCCTGAACCCACTGCTCTTTCTATACAGCCTGCCTTGGACCAGACAACCTTCTGAATCTTCACTGTGCAGAGCACTTACCCAGATGGACATGACAGGGGAATTCTCTGCCTGAGGAGATCTGCACAGACTTGGGTTACTGGTGCCTTTAATGCCTCTCTGAAACCTGCAATTCTAATGCCTGTGTGTGAATAAGATCCCCTTGGGGCCCTGAGGAACATGGCATCCCTGGTGGGAATTTTATCTGTCTGTTAGTTTTACTCCATTGCATCCTAGAAAACATCAAACTGAGGTGGTGGGGCGGGTGCTGGGCTCAAACTTTCCTCATTAACTCCCATGACACATCTATCAGAGAAGTACCAGGGTCACATCACATAGGCGACCAAACTTGGCTCATTTTGAACTTCATAGGTAATTGGTCTCTACCAATTTCAGACTTTTTAATTTCTCTGCTTTAGGATGAGGGGTTTGGATGCTCCCATGAGTTGTCTGCGACTCTGAAATTCCCATACGTTTCCTCAAAGCTCTTAGCATTTGCCTTTCCATCTGACACTCAGTGTCGGTGCTGCTCTGATGTGTGATTGTGGTGTCTCATTGTGTGTTTCATGCTCTTCACCCAGGGGCATCAAGCAATACTAAACCTTTCCCTTGCATGTTGTACATATGTTTATTTTGGAATTTTTAATAAAAATATTCTTTCTTTTTGTTTTTGGTGTTGTAGCCTTGTGTGTTGGCCTGGACTCACTCCTGTCTCTCATGCTGTCTTTGCTCTCACCTCCCTCCTGTTTCCGCTTCAGGGCTACAGACTTGAGCCACCAGGACCCTCTGCTCACGTGTTTTATGCATCTTACTGCTGTGTGGTTTCTTTCTTGTCAACCACACTCTTGATATTTTAAAGGTTCTCTCGCATCACCTTGCTAAACACCATTCCATCAGGTAACATGCAGGCTGATCTGAACGCTGTGACTCACTCAAAGAGTACACAGGACATGGAACAGACCTCCGGTCTTTCTCTTCCCACTCAACTCTAGGTGTGAATGGGTTCATGTTCGTGATAGTCCCTCACACATTTGCTGGGTGAAGGGTGCCTCTGAGTGTGTGCTAAGCAGTGTGAATTGTTTCACTGAGTGTATGTTCACCTGTGTGATGTGTTCCTATGAGTCTATAAGCTGTGTGAAATGTTTGGGTAAGTGTGTCCATCTGTGTGAAGGATGTTCTGAGTGTGTGTTGCGTTGTGTGATGTGTGCCTCTAAGTGTGTTAAGTTATGTGAACTGTGTCTAAGTGTGTTGGTCTGTATGAAGTGTGCCTCTGAGGGCTTTGATCGTGTGAAGCATGCCTCACATAATAAACTTTGTTTATGACTCTTTATATGCTTTCTGTTCTCTCTCCCAAGCCTACGTTTATCTAATAGTATGACCCATTTAGAAGTCTTTTGTTTCAGAATCTGTCTTATTGTGAATCTGTAATTCTTTACTATCCAGGAGCATTATTTGCTTTGCAGTTTTAAATCACTAAGCATGTAAGAATCTAAGCTGTGACATTCACAGGTCAAAAACAGATATTGCGGGCAGAGCCGCTTGTGACTGAATCAGTTGTGACTCTGAACTGCAGAGTGACAGGCTGCTCTGGATGTTGGCTCCAACTCTCTCCAATTCCAAAATGGAGAACGTACAATTTTCCACTAGCTCAGGGGCCGCTAGGTAGGAGCCACACTCAGCACTTTAACTCTGAGACTGAGTGTGCAACCCAGAAATTCTTTTCATCCAAGTTACAGACAAATCTGACAGGCAGAGCACTGTGCAGCCTGGAAACATCTCTCTGTAGGGCAGAAGAAATCTGCCATGCTCTCCCAACTGCCTAAGCTTGATCCCACAGTTTGCCTAGGCAGGAAGCACAGGCATGGTCTCAGAGTACTTTCTTCCCGATTAGGTCCCATAAAAGCCATTGAAATGTTTTATAGCTAGCATTCACGCTGGCGGGACAGCACAGGAAGCTGCATTTTAAAACGGCGCAGCTTTTTTCCTGCTGAGGCAGAGTCAGGAAAAATTCTCTGCAGCACACTCTAGCAAACAGCAAAAAGCTGTGTTAAACTCTCTCTCCTTTTTTTTAAAGCCCTATCAGGTTTTTAAGTGGATTTAGTCCATCACGTTGGGTGCCACTTGGTATTAGGAACAGCAGGCTGTGTTCCTGCTGCCCTGCTCTCGACGGCCTGGGTAGCTTATGCCGCAAAATACCAACACACAAATTGTATTCTTTTAATCTCTGCTTGGCTCATTAGTTTTCTTTATTAATTAACCAATGAAAGCAAAAGATAGAAAGAAGACCCACCTACATCATTGTGCCAGAGAGATGGCTCAGCAGGCAAGGATACTGCTTCCTAGAACACTCAAATTTAATTGCCTTCTCCTACATTGGGTGGCCCACAATGGCCCATAACTCTAGCTCTAGAGTATATGATAACACTGACAACTATGGACATCCACATCCATGTAGACACACAGAAACACACACACATGTACTCACATGCATGCAAACACACACACAGACACATACACACACACAAAGAGTTAAAACTTAAAAAGAAATTTTTATTTAAAAATTAAAAGCAATGTGTTAACTCAGGTCAAGTGAGAATAACCTCACAGGTCTCCTTGAAACACCCATGAAGAAATAAAAACTTCACATGATATCTGAGGGCGAGGCAGTTAATTTTCATTATATAACCAGCCATCCACACATAGTAAACAAGTTGAACAGAAAAATGATGATTTCATATTTTAATTTAAGGCACAGATTGTTCCCACCATGCCACAATTCAGAGCTCTGATGACAGCATATTGTTTATATGAAGAGATCATACCCATCACTGAATAATCAAATATTTATTGTCCTCCCACACATTGATCTCAAAAACTTAATTATATGATTTTCAGTACTAATCAGCACAAAAGGACTGACTGTGGCATAGTTATGGGACACAAGAATCTGGATACAGTAGAATATTGAGCAATCCTTGAACTTCATTCTTGAGTGGAAGATAACAATGTCCAAAATGTAGAAAAACACGAAGAAGTTCATGAGCAGCAGGATGGTCAGGGTGGCCCATAGCTCTGGAGATGCTTTTGGAAAGAAGCTGGTATTGTGAAGATCCTGGGACAGCCTCTTATGCCTGCACAGGAGAGTCTGCATGTACCCGCTGGAGTGGGCCATGAGACTAATAAGAAAGGCTTCCCTGAGGGACAGCAGTGTGGAAAATGTACTTCAAATTACATAACTCTTAGATAAAAGATGCTAGAATTGGGTACCATACGTATAGTTACCCAAGGTCAAAATGTTTGTGGTCGTAATAGACACTAAGAAGTGATTGCCAATGGCCCTACAGGAGACACTCATGGGTAGAAGAGCAAAGAGATGGGATAGGGAGATTTGTGCTTGAACTTTGCTAAACAGGAGCTTCTGGGACTGAGGATGACAGTCTAGAGGACACTCAACAGGCTGGTGGTACACAGGGAGAGACACCTAAAAATTCTGTATGAGTAGACAAGGAATTTACATATAATGTTCTTATCTCCACCAGAAAAAAAAGTCTGTAACTATGACTGCGGTGATCAGAAACAATAATATGTGGATTAGGGCCAAGAGATCAATGGGCAGGTCATCAATTGTTTGGATGACATATTAGTTGACTCAAGTATAAATACTTTACAAAGAATTTTGATTATGCTTGCCTCTGTAGTAAAGTCTGTGGTTTGGTGAAGACAGAGGCAGTCTGGGGATGCAGTCTGAGGGCAGGATCATCCCTTCAGTTTGAGTGCTGGTAGAGGTAAAAGAGCTCTCTAATGACTGGCACCCTGCTTCTCTGGTCTTCAGCATTAACCCCGATATATGCCTCTGGGTTTATATTATTAATACCAGTTAGAATTCATGCTACAGGCGTTCTTCTCTTTCCCTGTCTTTCTTATCCGTCTAGACGAATTCTCTCACTAACACCACAACCAGACTATAGAGTACCAGGACCCAAGGATCCTCCTATCTCTATATCCCGTTGTTATAGGTGTTTATGCATGGCCAAAACCCACTTCTTTGTGTAAGCTGAGATATTACACTCTGGTCACTGTCCTCTCACACATGGACAAGAAAAGGCCAATGATATCCTTTTCAGTGCTGATGAACACAAAAGGACTGACTGTGGCATAGCTATGGCTCACAAGCAGCCGGATAAAGTAAAATATTGGATCATCTTCGAACATATGCCTTGAGAATATCATAATGCTATCCAAGATACACATGAGCACAAAGAAGCACAAGAGCAGCAGGATGGTCCGGGAGGCCCTTTGCTCTGGTGATGCTTTTGAAGTAAAGTTGGTTATGTAAAGATGCTGGACCTGCTTCTTGTGCCTGCACAGCAGAATCAGCATGTACCCGCTGGAGAGAAACATGATACCCATAACGAAAACGTCCCTGAAGATGAACAATGTGGATATTACGTATGTCATTGGGAAACTGAAATGTACAAGAGAGCAGGATTCAGTAACATACAATAGGTAGTCTGAGGTCACATTAGGGGTCTTAACCATGGAGATGAATAGGTAAGTGGAAAAGGATGAATAGAAGGAACAAAGGACAAACAAGGACCCTAAGTTGTGACTTGGGGATAATTTTCTTTTGAACTTTGCTAAACAGGAGTTTCTGGGGCTGAGAGTGATGGCCTGGAGCACACTCAGCAAGCAGGTGCCACAAACAGAGAGACCCCTCAAAAATCTGTATAAGAAGAAAAGAGATTTACATGTGATGTCGTCCCATCCTTGATGAAACATAAAAATATCAGTAGCTATGATGCTCGCAACCAGCAGCAACAGAAGGTGGATTACAGCCAAGAAGCCAACAGGTAAGTCAGTGAGTCTGGGCTTGTGCTCACTACTGAGTGTGAGGACATGGAAGAAGAGAAGGACACTGTTGCCAGAGATCCCAATGCTTATCTCAGAGAAGACAGTATTTCTAAAGTTAGAGTAAGTGTACAGCTTTCTGTTCTGACTCATCTTATGTGGTCAAGAAGCACAGAGTAAATCTTGTGAGGTAAAGCAAGAGACCCCTCATCTCAGACAGCCTTGATTTTGAATCTTAACCCATGCTATCACCTTGGAAATACATGACCAGTTGAGGTCAGTTCATCTGTCTATATTGGAATCCTCAATGTCAGGTCACCCCAACCTCAGAAGGCACCCGTTGTCCCCATTGTCCTAGTGCTTTCCCTCTATCGTGTTTCTCTGTCCTTTGTGAGCCTCCCTTGCACATGGGCATTCATGGAAAACAAAAACTGTGCATCACAGCACACACTGCCGTCCCCACTGCTGCTGTGAGAGCATCCCCATGAACTGTCCTCTTCTCCCTTGCAGAGTTCTCATCGTCGGGGACACAAGCAGCTGGTTGTGGTGAATTCAAATTAGGAAGACTGCAAAAACTAGAAATGCCACCTTCACAGGACAGAACCTCCATGCGCTTGCCACGGACAGGGTCCTTTATTTCAATGCCCTCTTTGTTCTGTTCCTTTACTATCAAATATTCTTAATAATGTTTTATTACAAATGTTGAGAATTGTGATCCCTAATAGACTCATTCAAATTCTCCTTGTGACCTGCCATTGTCTCAGAGAGTAGCTTTGAGAACTCTGAGGCTGAGTTCCAGTCACCTCCTCTAGATCATGTGGAAAGCCATGTTCCTGTGTCTGGAATACTTCATAAGTGACATGCAATGAAGTCTACACACCAGGCATGAAGTGTGCCCAGCATATGATGGTCTCTGTGAAGTGTTGGCTGATGCCTTTCTCACGTATGCCTTATGCGTGTAGTATTGGAGAGTGAAGGCAGCTCTGTTAATGACTGTTCAGCCTCATCCCTGCCTGAAATGAAAAAGACAAAAATGAGGGAAGAAAGCAAGGGCAGTGTAACATCTGCACAAACCTCTACAGAGCCCCAATGTCCTTTCCTTTTTTGAATCCTGCTGTTTCTCTGTTCACTGTGACCTTTTTCAGTACAAGCAAGCTGTTGGTAGAAAACAATATTAGCCACAGACAGGTTCTAATTTTTCCTTATATAGTATGAGAATTCAGAGTTACTCTGTGTGAATTCAAACAGAACTACAATTACAGTAGCATTCCTTCATGTGGTTCCAGAGGAAGGAAAAGCACACAAGCCAACATGAAAGGTGAACTCCTTAGGATTCTGACGTCATCTCTCCTGCAAGTGAGTGCTTTTATTTCTCCAGACTCAAAGGTCATGAGTCTAAAATTTCTACCAGGAAGTTTGAGAAATGGTAGGCTGGCAGAATGTCTCTAATAGAACAAATGTGTTTGATTTCATGTAGCATCACCCATACAGACCAGATGATGCAACCAACAAAGACATGTGTGGTGGTGCACGCTGGTAGGCTAGTCTTAAGAGGTAGAGACAGGAGGATCACAACATTAGACAGTGGACATGAAAGCTTGATCCTGAGACAATCCTAATATACATGAGAAGTAGAGAGAGAACCGACTCTACAGTGTTTTTCTAGCACACATGAGAGCACTAACATTTTATAGTTTGTCCAGTGAGATGGCATTAAGAGATATCATTGTAAAATTAAGGTTATAAGATGATGCTATTGTATAATAATTTAGACCATGTGACCATAGTATCAAATATTGAGGGAAAAAAACATATTAAAGTCTATAAATATACGTGTTTGCTTTAGAATTCAAAATTCTCATTGGCAAAAATATTTTTAAAGACAATATCCAAATATATAGTATCACAAGAAGAGTTAATCGATTTGCCTGATAAAGAGACTGGGTATTTTATATAACAATAGTATTTTGGGTGAATAGTTTTATTAAATTATTTCTACTTAATTGTGAATGTTTCCAAAACATATAAAGGTATTTCTCAGGTCCCAGTCAATGGGGAGAAGGGAAGGAGAAAGATCAATTTTCCCAAAGTAAAGAAAAGAAAAATAATTTTCTGTACACATATGTTGTGTACAGAATGGATTCTCTTGATGAACCTGGGGAAATCTCAGTGAAGTGGCAATAAAGGTTCCATGAGCCTCCAAGTGGTGACACGTAACACACTGTCACCAGTCCATGATGACCTCTGTAGACTTACAGAATAAATGCTGTGAGTGCAAGCATGTGTGTGTTTGTGTGTTGAAATACATGCACTTCATGTTAAATAACACATGCACTGAAACGCTCTTAAAGTCTAGCTTGAAAGGGCCGGGGAATGGCACCAAGGATAAGAGCACTTGTTAAGGAAGAAGAAGATCTGGGTGTAGGTGTCAACACCACATAAAAAGACTAAAAAGACTAGCATGGGAGCTGGAGAGAAGGGTCAGCAGTTAGGAGCACATACTGCTCTAGCAGAGAACACAGGATTAGTTCCCAGTATCTACATCAAGAAGCTGACAACTGCTTCTGACTTCATCTTCAGGGGATCTGATGCCCTACTGTGGACATCTGCACACATGTGAACACAGATGCACGTAATTAAAAATGAAAAAATCTGGGCTGCAGAGATTGCTCAGAGTTCAATTTTCAGTAGCTACATTGAGGCTCACAACTGTCTATAACTGTAGGCCCATTCGATCTGATGCCCACTTCTAATGTGCAGATGTACATGCAGACACCAATTCCATACACTTTAAAAACATACATAAGCAAAAATAAAAATCTAAGGAGAAGCCAGTATGAAACATATACTTTAGCTTTGGTAAGTAGCATGTTATTCCTTTGGAATACCCAGGTTTCCTTAGTTCTTTTTAGCTCATGAAAAGAAAGAGGACAGAGAGAAGAGAATAGACAGAAAGAGGCATGGGTGAGAGGAAACTTTATTCTTACACAAATATCTCATTGTCAAAGTCCTGTGTGCTGTGTTTCACTACCTATAAAATCTCATATTCTCTGTCACTTCAGAAACCACAGTCCTGAAAACTTAAACTCTTCAGAAAGCAAGGCAGGGGCAGAGGCCTTGAACCTTCTGTGATATTCTCAACATCTTGGCTTCAGGGAACTCTGCTTTGAAACAATAGGAAGAGCTTTACTGGAGGTGGAATTCCACAGCACCAAGACAAAGTTCTCTTTCTTTCTACAGAACACAGACCAAGGATGGGGACATGATTTCATATATTAATGGGTACCAGTTTGCCAGGGACAAACAACTCCCTAAATTACACACTGCGTCCATATTTTGCAGGACACCCAATTTCATTTCTGAAATTTCTACATCCGAATATACATGGTGTCAAATTGTTTACATATTACAAAGTAAGTCCTGCAATGAAAGATGCTACCGTTTTGGCGAGTGTGTCACTGCTATAGAGAGCATTCTCAGAATTGTGCACCCTTCAGGAAACAAGCTATAGGGCCTCTCATAGCCTGTCCTACCTTCCTAGATCAGGCAATTTAGTTCACATCTGCCCAGCTAAGCATGGACTTTGTGGTCAGCAGACACAACAGATATTCTATGACCTCAGCAAGGTGATTTAAGAGGCACTTCTCAAAATAGAACTTGCAAGGGAATATGATGAGATAGCTCTGGGAAGGCCTCTTCAATCGTGCAAAGAGAAAAAGTTGGTGTTCTGAATGAATATAAGCACTTAAGTAACAGAGAAATGATGGGGCTGTGTGAAATAGGTACCAGGAAAGAGGCCACAATGGGGAAGAGAATGGAAAGGCTCAAACAACAGAAGAGAAGAAAAAACCACACCAGGATGAAGAAATATCCAGAAGGATGCTGAGCATTTACTGCTAGAAACAGCTGTGAAGGCTTCAACTGCTAGGACAAGAGAGCAAGAATCCCCTCCGTGGACTGCACAGAGTCAGGAAGCCATGACTGTAGAATCCGCATCATTCTGTCTTTACCCAAATCGTAGAAAACATGAGATCATTGACATCATTAAATAGACCTCAAACCAGTGACAACAGGTCAGGACAATGACCTGAATTTGTGATCTGGAGAGAAGAGGAGATTGGAAGGGAAGGAAAAAATTTGTGGTCCCTAGTGCATGCTGGTGGCCTACTGCATCCAGGGAGAAGACAGTCAGGAGTAATGTCTGCTTCTTCCTCTATAGCTATAGCACATATACAGCCCACCCATCATCTGGTGCTGAAAGCAAACAGAGCATGGTTTACGTCAGGGCTGAGGGATACCTGTCCACCCTTATTATTATGAAATATGGTCTTGATTTTGGCATCTTCATATCACTCACCTCTGCTGTTTTTATCTAGATTTAACTCTTCTGATTTAGCCAGTGCTCTCTCTCTTTGCCCTCTATGGCTAATTCCTGTCAACTAGCCACTGGTTCCATTTCCTGACTTCAGGTTTTCATTTAATTAACACGATCTCAGCTTTATAATGTGATCAAAATCCAGCAATGCACCCTTAGCATGTGGTCATCGTTCTCACCCCTGCTGTGAGACATTACAAAATGCATGGGGTGGTCTGGAAAGGGAAACTGCTCCTGCCTCCTACATGTGGGCTTAGGAGGAGGTGAAGCCAGTATCCTCTGTGTGTTGCACAGTTCGACCTGCTTGCTGGAGCTATACTAGAGAGATGGTTGGTGTATCAGGAGAGGCAAACCATCACCAAGCAGAGGCCAGCTCTGTGTTCAGAGGCCACGAAGCTAATCAACGTGAATAATAGGATGAGCAAAATCACAAAGAAATGACAACTATTTCTGCAAAACTGCTGAAATTAGCCTTCACGTTTGTTTTTGTAATTAAAATGATTACAGGTCTTCTCAGGGCTAAAGCCTGCAGCCAGCATGTTCACTAAGTGTTTGCATACTCCTCCAGAAACTGAAGTAGGGCAGCTTCCCTTTAGGGTGAGAGAGAGAAATCTGCAGAGCCTGGCCACAGATGCCACTCTCAGCTGTGGGAAACTCACATGAGCTGCAGAAGAACCTGCCGTCCTGAACCTCCCCACACCGCAGTCACAGCTGAGACTGGCTTTCTCCCTAAGTGACTTTACCCTCCTTGTCACATGCATTGTGAATAACAGTAAAA